AATTCTTATTTCCAACAGCCCCTGCCAGAAGTATGAGATACAACAGCTACTAAATAGAATCTGATGCCTGGTAACGTCATTGCCGAGTATACCCCAGTTTCCGAGGTAAACAGAGCTCACGTGGTTAACCCCCCTCTTGATCCTGTTAACGACTACTATTTCCGAATATTATAATAATATCGGGATGATCACGATCCAATTACTTGGCAATTTACAAGCATAATTCCGACTAGCATTCGACAACCATCCAAAATGCCCGAAAGGTATGGAGATTACCAGTCGGTCATCTATGGCCGTGGGGCTATAGAAAGCGTTCAGCCGAATGTCACTACAGACCCTCGTCTTCTCGAGGAACAGGCGCGCAAGGCACTGGGTGCCCGATCCTTCAATTATGTCGCTGGAGGAGCCGGTGAAAAGGCTACCATGGACAGTAATCGGCTGGCGTTTCGCCAATGGAAACTGTAAGTTTGCGATCGGACGTACATTTCGCGGTAGCTGACATAATGTGTATAGTATTCCGAGAATGCTGAGACCGGTTTGTTGAGGGTCAGAATCTCTTTTTCCGTTCGGGGACTGATCGTCTTGTATAGGTAGATAACCAGGACCTTTCAGTAGAGCTCTTTGGCCACAAGTATCCGAACCCAGTCTTGATGGCACCCGTCGGTGTCCAGAGTTTGTTCCATGAGGATAAAGAGACAGGTCTAGCCGAATCATGTGCAGAAGTCGGAGTCCCATATACTCTGAGCACAGCCAGCACTAGCTCTATTGAAGAGGTGGCTGAGGCTAATGGAGACGGAAAACGATGGTTTCAACTTTACTGGCCGCAAGATGATGACGTCACGCTCTCACTACTGAAGCGCGCCAAAGACAATGGCTTTTCTGTTCTCGTAGTCACTTTGGATACTTGGTCCCTTGCCTGGCGACCGGCCGATTTGGACAATGCGTTTGTCCCGTTTATCAAGGGCGTTGGCAATCAAATCGGCTTCTCTGACCCGGTGTTTCGTGCAAAGTTCGAGAAGGAATCCGGCTCTAAACTAGAAGAAGATATTGTCGGAGCATCTCGGGCGTGGACCTCTGACGTGTTCCCTGGCCGGTCTCATACGTGGGAGCATATCTCTTTTCTACGGAAGAATTGGGATGGGCCAATCGTTCTGAAAGGGATTCAGCATGTAGAGGATGCAAAGCTTGCTCTCAAAGCTGGATGTGACGGTATTGTTGTTTCTAACCATGGAGGTACATCGATCGCACCCTGATAAATGTTGCCCTTCTTGATTATTGACGCTCTACAGGTCGACAAGTGGATGGCGCCATTGGTTCTTTGGATATGCTTCCTGAGATAGTGGAAGCCGTTGGTGACAAGATGACGGTCCTATTCGATTCCGGGATCAGGACTGGTGCAGATGTCGTGAAGGCTCTATGTTTAGGAGCCAAGGCAGTATTTGTAGGTAGACCTGTAATATATGGGCTTGCAATCAATGGAAGAGAGGGAGCCAAATCTGTGATGAGAGGACTGCTGGCAGATCTGTGGCAGACTATGAGTTTGTCCGGTATTTGCACCGTCGCCGAATGTTCTCGAGATAGAGTCAGGAAAGTCCAGCACCCAGGAGATGTGAAGGCTATGATGTGACATGACAACATAATTATTACCAGGCTGTATAGTCACATAGGGACCTGTCATAAGATCAATGTTCTTCCTCGGCCGCGAGATCGGCGAGGGGATTTTAAATAGCAGACAAATCGGAAAACAGAAAATGATCGCAAATGAAGTTCTCATTCAAGTAGTCTTGTGTATTTCGCCAATGTTAATCATGAGATGTGATTCCATGGTTCTGATAACCGAGAACCCGTTCCACAGGAGAAGAGCTGAATACTTTGTTGGGGGGAAGCTGAAAATCACATGTCAAATATTCGTCAACGTATTTCCCCCTGATTAATGCGCGGAAGGCGGAGGATGACTTGTACCTTGCCGCTTGGTGCTGATCTACAGGACTACACCTCATTGCCCTTCCACCAGGAACCCGGTCACTGACGCAACATCTGACAGTCTGATTTGGCAAGCACTACTTACATTATCTACCGTCTTATCTCCGTTGCCACGAAAGTAGTTCTTCCCTGTTTGTGGATGCGTTCGCTCATGGATTCTAAACTCCCCTTTAATGCAATAAGAAAGAAAGGTTCAAGTGGTCAGTTTAATGAATCGCGATGCCTAATCTATTCGGCCTTGTGCCAATGTTGAGGCGAGATGAATCCCAACATGATCTGGAAGCGGCCCAGGGTGACGGCGCAAGTCATATACCCGCAACGTCAGGCGCGACTCTACTCCCACGTCCAATGGCTTCAATTGTTTCCTTTGTTACTCAGTCCACTTCGCTCTCCCTCAAAGTTGGGACTTTCTTCGGAGGAGTGGCTATCAATGGAGCAAGAGCTACCACGCTGACGGGGTTGGAGCTCAGTAGAGCAGTCATCGAAGGCGTCCTGACAAGAGCCGGACGGGATGTGGCTACGAGGAGCAGCGGAGAACATGGCAAAGTAGAAGCAGAATCTATACTGGAGCGAAGCGTAAGTTCAGGTCTAGTCCCTACTCTAAACTGGCTTACATTAGCTAATTAATATTTAGCTTGCCGCTCTGCACAAGTCGGTCACGTCAGCATCGTTCTTCGTTGCTGCAACGTTCCATTTCTCTTCTACCACTCTTTCATCTGCTTCAAATATGTCTCAGGCGCTTTTGTCTACTCTTGATGCAATACTTGGTTCAACCGAGTCTTCAAGGGCGATAGCTGCTATCATAACACTTATCCGAAGAGAATTTCGGAACCCAAGCGTTGAGTCTATGACTGATGATAACATTGGTGTCGGTGACCTCTTAGTAGGCACAGTTGGCTTCGCCATGCTTCAGCGTTGGGGAAGGAAAAATACAGAACGACAAATAAATACGAATGGTGGGGACGAGGCCATCTGGGATGTTGTCATCTTGGACAATGGCGTCAGAGCAGATGTTGTTGGGATGCACCAGATAGAACTTACGAGAAGGCCTCGTAGCGACTTTCACGATGAGACGAGGCGTTCATCTTTCATATCGCCCGGCAATGACGAGGAAGCCTTCGATGCTGTGCAGCGTCCGGCGAGTAGGAGTGATATGACCGAGAAACATCCCCTTTCGCTTCCCCCAGGAGACCATCAAATGTCCGACGATGAAATCCGATTGTATATTATGAAGCAGCTTCCTCAAGGCTGTCGTGCCTCGATAAAGACTGATCTAGTCACTGCACGTACTATAACAGTTGACATCTATGATGACGACAGCGCAGAGATTGCTGCTCCACCCGGTACGATGGTGATTGAGGAAAGGTTCCGTAACGATCAGTGCTTTGGCAGTAGTGCGGGATCGAGTCCTCCCCAACTTCCCAAGCACACCGTTGTTTTTCGAACGGCTTTCAATAAATCTCAAAGCGCAGACGTGAGGCTATCACGTGGAGACGATATCTCGGGTATATACGAGATCAATTCTGACCATGGCAACCAGAGTTCTTCCTTGAGTCAAGGCATTACTGACTCACCCCATGACGCCGAGTCAACCGTCGCAAATCACCGTCATGCTATGCCCCAAGACAAATCAATGCAAACTACCCAAACTGAAATTCAAGGCGGCAGCCATCGAAACCCTCATTTGCAGGGAGCCAATGGACTTGATAAATCTTCATACGAGCCAACACTGCCCGCTGATTTAAACAGCTCCAAACGATACCGTGTAGAATCTACTCGAACTGCCTCAAACGAAGCCGACACTACTTCGAAAGGCTCGTTTGGGAAAGGCTCCCTGACGAGGATTGCACAGAAAGTGAAACCGACGAATGTTGAGAGAAGTGACCAGAGTAAGAGACTGTCAGTAAAGGAAAAGTCTAGCACACCACCTGTTCATTCCGTCCAACGCAGCAAGGGGTCGAAAGGTCCTGTCCCTGAAAGAAAATCATCAGCTCCCAGACAATCTCCCAAACCTACCGCAGAAGGAAAACAGGAAAAGCCGCCACTCCCTTCCAAGGCTCGAGTTTCTTCTGTAGCGAACCGAGGCTCACCAAGATCGCCTTTACAAAGCGCTCGCCTGTCTGTCCCTTCAACAGGACGAGGTGGTAGCGCACGGGAAATGGCCCCCGAAAGGAATCCGATGCCTGAGTTTTACGCAATACACGAGAAGAATGAAGAGTCTTTCATGAAGCAAACGGATGCTTATTCTACAAACGTGCGCCCCAAATCTTCTGCAGGTGTGAGAACACATGTGCGTAGCAGCAGTTCTATGTCAGTCACAAGATCTGAGGCGGACATGTCTGTGTCTGTCAATGATGGGCGTCCGAGCTCCTCAAATTTACACAAAAGCTCCCATACGTTTACTCCCAGCATATACTCTTTAGCGACAGCTGGTTCGGAGACGTCACTCATACTTGCACATCGATCCCGCAAGAGTGCTTACGATGACATGGAAACCATACAAGCATTAAGTCGCGATGGACTTGTACCAGGAATATTTCCTGAAAAGCATTTTGTGCAAAATATCAGGCGTTTCCTCCGGTTTTCCTCAGCATCTTATGGATCAAATGCTCTCAAAGTCATGGGTGTTCCACCAACGACCAAGGCTCTTGCATATCAAGAATCTGACAGTCGAGAGCACAGCGACTTCTCAGATCACACCGGCCTGCCAGCTTCGACAATACTTCTCTCATCCTTTGTCGATCCCGCGGGTGGGTCAAACGCTGCTGGGGAGACGGAGACCGGCTTTCCTCTGGTCCATTACCTGTTCCTAGATCATGAATCGAAGGCCGTTGTCCTGACGCTTAGGGGAACATGGGGCTTCGAAGATATCCTCACAGATATGACCTGTGATTATGATGACCTGGAATGGCAAGGAAAGAGCTGGAAAGTTCATAAGGGTATGCATGCTTCTGCGCAGCGACTGTTGATGGGGGGAGGTGGGAAAGTTATGATAACAATTAGAGCTGCCTTGGAGGAATTTCCAGATTACGGCGTGGTGTTATGCGGTCACTCACTAGGCGGAGGTGTTGCTGCACTATTAGCTACGATGATATCGGAACCTACGAATGATGGCTTCGGGACATCATTCGTGACTACTTCATATCAAGCCACTGCGCAACGTTTACTACTAACTGGAAGCAGCGAGACTAACCAAACGGCTTGCTTTCTTCCCTCGGGGCGACCTATACACGTTTATGCATATGGTCCACCTGCATCCATGTCCCCTTTTCTTCGACGTGCGACACGTGGGTTAATCACGACGATTGTTAACGGTCATGATGTGGTACCAAGCCTCTCTTTAGGGATTTTGCATGATATGCATACGGTGTCAGTGGCTTTCAAGAGTGATGTTTCAGGAACCAAGTCGCACGTACAAGGCCGTGTTTGGAATAGCTTGCGGCAGAGTATCGTTAATAAGTTCTACGTCAACGAGCCGCCTATAGTCCAGCATGCTGGTGACGGTATTGGCGAAGACGCTTGGGCATGGAAGACTCTCAAAATGCTTAGAGAGGAAATGCTCGCGCCTAAGCTGATGCCCCCGGGAGAGGTATTCGTGGTTGAGACCATGCGCGTCCTACAGCGGGACGCTTTCACGTCTGGTATGGGTGATGATGGCCACCCGCGGCTGGGTCGTCCTGCAACGAGAGTCCAGCTCAAGTTTATTCGAGACGTCGAATCAGTCTTTGGAGAAATGAGATTCGGATCAGGGATGTTCAGTGACCACAATCCTGCACGTTATGAAGCAAGCCTCGCGGCGCTCTCGCGTGGAATTTTAGATGACTGATGTATCATGATTTGGTTGTTATCTGATCGTGGAAGGGAACGACATGCAGGCCCTAACCTCTTGGGCCAGCGACCCTCTTTTTATCTTTATATATACTTTTGTTTTCATTTGTCAAGTCACCGGTGTTACACCGAAGAAGTTATCCAGTCCAGTACTGGAAGACGCACATATCTATACAGGCGATCTAAGTTAAATATATACCCCTATGGCACAATTGTTCATTAGAAATAAAATATGAGATTTCAATCACAACGTCTTCAGATGTAATTGGCTGGTGCTCGCCGTACCGTACCCCGGCTGAGCAACTGAGCCAGGAATAAACTATTTCGAGGATGCACAGCATCCGCGTGGCTAGAGGACGACCATACACTTATTTAAATTGAGTGATTCGTTTCCTCATACCTGCGTGCTCTTGAGTTGCAGCGACCTTGCAACGCTTCTTTGGCCCAACCTAGACGTGAAGGCGTGAAGGCCGCGAAGCGATATGAAAAGCAATGGATGATCGAGCACGGCAAGAGCTGTAGTGATCTCATCGTCAAACCAAACCTCAAAGTAGTTCAGTAACAGTTTGCCCATCGAAGTCACGGAGGGCAGACTACCCTGGTAGCAACCAGCAAACCCAGCGCAGGGCTTGATATACCGAAGGGGTAGCCCACATCATATTATTATAGATAATCCAGCATGGCCTATTGACTGTGCAAAACAGAATAAGTATCGAGTTGCGCAAAGGGCTGGAGAGCAAAATCGTCTTCTCAAAGGAACACCAACCTCCAACTTAATTCCGTACCTATGGCCGCATATTTAACCGTTATGGGGAGGCTCTCTCTTTGACCCGTCCAGACCCTTCTGTTTCCTTTCCTCAATTCGAGCATCTAGATCGTGCATCTGCCGTTCAACAAGTTCTTTCTTCGCCGCTAGATTTTCCCGCATGCCGCGAAGAGACGCGATTCGCTCGTCTATTGTAGCTTCCCGTTTTTGCTGAACCGTCTATACATGCGGAGAAAAAAAAGGATTAGCTAATTGAAACAGGCGGGGAAATATCTATGGAATTCTTTGGCCATACCTGGGTAACCTCTTTTTCGGTCTTGATACCGGCGCCGTAGAGTGTTCCGGCGATGGTGATTGAGACTACTGCGGTGGTTAAAATGAGACGGCGTGCTTTCTGGGAGGCCATTATGAAGAAGACAGGTTCGATTGACTCTATAGCTCACGGATCAAAAGGATAACTAGGAATTGGAGCGTTCGTGCGGAGATGATAAATCTCCGCAATCGATTGAGGGTCTAAATCCGATCAAGGCGGCAACCGCATAGGTATTCATTGACCCGGCAGAACTTTTGAACGTTTTCTGAGATGGTTCATCGGATGTTGTATCTTTTGTAGGGACATTTTTCACGCTTGTTAGGGTGGAGAATTTTAATTTTAGTATCCAGAGTCAGTGCTAAAGGATAGTTTGATATTTTCAGCAAGTTTAAAGCTGAATAAACCAGCATTAGCTGAGATAGAGGAGGTATATTTTACTACCGGAGGCCCATTTCCTGGCTAAGAGGTTCAATGTGTCTGTACTAGCGCGGACTCTTGCAGTACCGCTTTCTGTTTTAGGAATAGAAGCTACCTTTCTTTTGTAGTCTCGTGTAACTATCCGATGCTGCCGCTTTCCGATCACAAAGCAAATGCCATTACCATCTAACCGTATTCGGTAACTAGCTATATCTACCTAACTACTAGTAGTACTACAGGTCTGACAATGACAAGGGGATTTGCAATTCGCCACGAATCAAAAGTCGGTCAGAACACTGATTAAGATTGACAGTGACCATTACAAATGAAAGTGGAAAGGCCAGTGGCCTGTGACATAATTATCGCGAGCAAACATTCGCTCTTGTAACCTTGTACTCCGTACTTGTCTCCTTCCCTCCGAATTCTGTTGAGAGCTGAGGCGACAGGAATTGATAGGGCTAGTTCCAAGCTGAATGATAAGACTCCTTATCTAATGACACTTCATTCATAGATCTTGATAGCAAACATTGAAACACGCCCTTCCAAAGACTACGCCTTTTCGGAGACAACTCCCGACACCTTCGGATATGATCCGAGCCACTCGGGCGATGCGGGGTCTTCTGGATCTAGGGTTTATATTATCCTCACGCTTGTAACTTATTGTCTATGCTGGTATTGAATAATTCGACTATCACCCGCTCTCATGGCTTCCAGACCGCCCATTGGCTCTTTCCGAGGGGCTCAGTTGGCAGTGAATACAACCCGTGGAAGACCGAACCCGCGCTGGCTGTGTCGAGATAGATCCACCGTATCTGGGCCCAAAGATCAACTGCCGCCACACTCTCTTTTGCCAACTAAGATGCTGTGGCGATCCCTTCTAGTGGCTACTGTTTCGTCTCATCCATGGCTGTTAACTCCAGCATTGAGGACGCTCTCCGTCCTCGCTCACCCTCGATTATCTTTCTTAGATGTGAATAAGAATGCCATACTACGCGGGATCCTAAAAACAACATTCTACAACCACTTCTGTGCTGGAGAGAACGCTGCCGAAGTCACTGGCACCATTGGCCGGATCAAGCACATGGGCTTTAAAGGTGTCATTCTCACATACGCTCGAGAAATTGCGGTCGACGCTTCATCCCAAAAGGCCGATAACCCTACCACGATCAATGAAAAGGCCAGAGCACAAACGACAAAGAGCGCTGAAATTGAAGCCTGGAGGCAAGGGGTTCTGGAGACGGTCGAAATGGTGGGAACTGATGACTTCTTGGCCCTAAAGTGAGTTGATTACATGTCAAGCTATTTACTTAAAAGGCTAACACAATACGTCTAGACTCACTGGGGCTGGCCCTCAAGTGATGCACGCGCTCTCTTCCAACCAGTCCTTACCGGAGCAGATGCTGCTTGCTTTGCAGGATGTCTGCACTCGTGCCATCGAGCGTAATGCGCGCATCTTTGTCGATGCAGAGCAGCAGTCTGTCCAATCCGGCATTGACGCTGTTGCTCTAAACCTAATGCGTCGCTATAATCGAAACGGCACTGCTGTGGTATACAATACTTTCCAAGCGTATCTCAAGTCAACTCCCGAGAATCTTCTTTCCCATCTGGACATCGCAGAAAAGGAAGGGTTCACTTTGGGTGTGAAACTAGTCCGAGGCGCATATATCAACTCCGAGCCACGCCATTTGATTAATGATACAAAACCGGGTACAGACGACTCATACAATGCGATTGCAGCTGGAATTCTGCGTCGCCAGTACGGCCCTTTTGGGGTTGAGCGACAATTCCCTTCCATCGAGCTGTTTCTTGCTACACATAATAAGGACAGTGCTCTGGCAGCTGACTCCTTATACAAAGCACGACTTGCCGCCGGGCAACCGACTACGAAGGTACAGTATGGACAATTGCTGGGGATGGCGGACGAGGTCAGCTGCCGTCTGTTGCAGCTTCGTGATGACAGCAGCCGAGCGGCACAAAAAGCGTCTCCTGAAGTATACAAGTGTCTGAGTTGGGGAACTCTGGGGGATTGTCTGTCTTACCTTCTGCGCCGGGCCGTGGAGAATCGTGATGCGGTAGGGCGGACGAAGCAAGAATATTTTGCTCTCAAGACGGAGGTCAAGCGTCGGATAAAGAATATGTTTAGTCTTCGATGGTAGACTACTCTAGAATTCCACTTTTGCCTTGCGATTTCTTCATGCCGGCCTCTCAATCAATGTACAGTAGTGAATGGCAGGGCGCGTAGTAGCCCGATATCTCGGTGAAAAGAGCCGAAAGAGCAAACCAACATTAGGGTCAACGTACTGCTAAAGCTCCAATATTAGTCTATATATTCAAACTGTTATGGGCTGAGGGAAATGTACCTTGAATCTTGGGTTGAAGTTTACAGCCATGAATGATATGTAGTTAGTTAGTTAGGGTTAACTGTTTTAGTCACATACATGATACTAGATTGATTGATTTAATCTCCCGGGATCTCTTCCGACTTAAACCCCACCTTTCCACTCGAACAACCTCAACTGTCTTGATTGCCGACGATTCCTATGGTTTCTTTCGCTCATAGACGTATTACAGGATACTAGTATTGCGAAATACTTAGTATTTCCAGTCCAATTACGCTTATGACAGCATTCTGATCTGCCCCGAAAGACAAGATGGTGACCACAAATCCGCGCGCGGCCAATGCGTGAGTACCGATAAGCCTTCGGAGGTTCCGTCCGAAGGCCAATCCACGCAGTACAGTACGGTATCAGACTGACATTCTATAGATGTGAATCGTGCCGCCGACGTAAGGTGAAATGCTCAGGAGATCAGCCCTGCCGCAGCTGCGTTAGGCATAACTGGGAATGTGTACCTGGCCATGCCGGCCGTAGAAAGTATACTGAAGCGTATGTTCACCTTTCCCTTTCACAAGTAATGGGGGTTTCCATTGACAGCTCCATATATATAGACATGTCAAAAATCTCCTAGATAAGATTCAATTATATGAAGAGCAACTTAGTACCCTTTCGCAAGGTATGTGGGATACAAATACTATTATTCCACGGACAAATCGTGACTTGTGAGGATAGCAGCTCCCCCTGCCACATCAGGTACCGGCATTCGCAATGAATACACAGCCGAAGCCGTGCCCTATCAAGAAAGCGACGCGGGGATTAGTCCAGGTCAGTCGGTGGCTCGTTCTTCATAGAATTTTGACTGACCGGATCAGCAACCGACTTGACTTCAGGACCGGCATTTGAATCCCAAGTCAAGTCACTGCTTGATAGGAACCACCCAACTAACAGCGCAATCTTACTAAACTCCGGTAACAGAGGCTCCAATGAAGCTGTAACGCAATGGACGTCGGCGAGACCACTGGTCAGCGGTGATGCCGTGCCGACTATCCCATCTTTAGAGGAGTCACAGCATCTACTCGATCGCTTTCTCTTCTACCTTGGTGTTAGCCAGCATTTTTTCGACCCTCGTACTTTTTCTGACAGCATGGTGCTGCTCTTCCAAGATGAACAAACACAAGAACGCCAGACGCATTCGATCTGGTTCACCGAGTATCTGCTCGTCATGGCGATGGCCAAGCTGATGGATGTAGAAGACCCTTCCTCCCAGCCCCCAGGTGCGAGTCTCTTTGCAGAAGCGATGAGACGGTTGCCTCCGTTACATCAACTGGGCGAGGAAGGGGCTATTGCTGTTGAGATCCTAACACTCATCGCCACCTACCTCCAGTGGTGTGACCGGCAGCATGATGCGTATCTTTATGTAGGAAGAATTGGCGAATTGAAGCCGGGCACCATGACTAACTAGATACAGATCGGCCTCGCTTTACGACTAGCTATAGCCTTGGGCTGTGATAAACCAGCGCGTGAACAACGCTGTCTGCCTTCAGAGACAGCTCATCGCGTGAGGCTTTGGTGGACAGTGTACATGCTGGATCGGTAGGTCTTTAGCCTATATATGCAAGACTCAAGTGTTAACCTAATGGCGTAGTCGTCTTTCTTCCGGCCTAGGATTGGCCGCTGGCTCAGATGAGCGACAGCTGCGCGCTGAGCTGCCTCGACAAGCCATCGGGTTTCAATCTCCCATTGCTTTGGCAATCAATGTCCGCATCGCGCGTGCCACAGACGAGATCATGTCGTGTATGTGTTATTCCTGAAGGACAAGCGATACATTCCGCGTCTAATGAAAGATTAGCTCTATATGGAAATACATCCATTACTCAAATGGAGCTTGTCCACAAAATCCAGAAGATCCTTCAGGATCTTTATGAAACAGGCCGTTCCTTCCCGCCTGCTCTTGTTCTCGACTTTAATCGTCCACTGCAGACAGTAACCCGGACAGGCGCATCACTCTATCTGATGTTGTTCCAGGTCAGTCGGCCCCAGATAGATACTGTATATCCCTTCCTAACCAGCTCGACAGGCCATTATACTTTGTACTCGCCCTGTTCTTCTGCAACGTGTTCGTCGGGAGGTTCAGAGACAAAATAGCCAGCAGGTACTGCAGCCTCTCCCAGCAGTGCTAGGTCGCCTGTGCGAGACGTGTAATGAGGCTGCAACGAAAAGTCTAGCCATTCTTCACGCACTCAAGCGCCAGCAGACCATACGTATGTAATATCCTATTTCTGTCCCAGGCTGTTCCGCTGACCATCGCTGTAGCCCGATATGGCTTTTTCGATTTGGACGCTACGTTCTCCGGCGCCTTTGTCCTAGTCATGATGGGCCTTATAGACAAGACTCGGGATCAGCCTCCCCATGCCTTAGACCAAGCATTCGATGTCCTTCGGTTCCTGTCTCAAGCTGGTAACCTAGCCGCCGAGCGCCGCTTACAAGACATTACCCATTCTTGTTTGCACGTATGGCCAAACCATATTCTAGGAGCAGATAGACAGCAAGGTGAACAGGCAGACAGAGGATCGCCGAGTGCAATCAATTTATCTTCGCTCGACTCGAGAGTAGATGCAGCGGGCCCTCACACATCGGCTTCAGCCATTCCTCCGCAGCCACCACCTCAATACACAGCAGTGGCTACCGAAGGCTGGGAACAGGACCGGGATGAAAGCCGGCTTCTGGAGCCGTGGATGCACCCGGATACCGCTAATGCGACGTTTGACATGCAAGTGGACTGGGATTTGGATCTGGACCTCGCGGTGGAGGCCGAGGGGATTTACTCCAGTTTCTTTGATCCATCACTGCCGCTTACTGGTGTAGATCACTCGGATTGGCTGGAGATTGAAAAGATCTTTAACGGACAGAATGATCCGTAGGCTTTGGTGGTTTGGTCTGTCGTGGCATCTGTTTAGGTGGCGTTTGTCTGTTCGTGTGATGCGGGGTTGGTTTGTGTGTTGATTGAGGAAGACTGGATCTTGGCATTGAAATAGAATATGAATCAGTGCTTCTAGCGTTGCATTGAAGAATAATTGACGCACTTCTTTCGAATCAAGTGTCAAGGGGACCTTAACGGGAAGCTGGCCCTTGAGCTTGTCGTTGGCATCTTGGAGCTTTGCGCGTTCCACTGAGCTTTTGGCGGATGAAGGCTGGGTTTCCCAATGAGCTGTGAGAGATAACGGAGGAGGTTGATAGTACATTTGGCTCCTCGTGAATTGGAGGCTCGAAAGATGCCAGGCCTCCTAGATGACGGCATCCTCCGTCATTGAACAGCCAAGATAGATGTAAGGGGCGTTTCCCCAGGGTGAGTGGCATGGCGTAAGTTAGAGCAGCTTCAACTCGACCGCTACTCAGTTACCTTAGTCTCGCAGTGCGTCTCTGGCTCGGTATTTGAAGACCGACAATGTACATTTCTTTCGGACTGCAACACCGAAGGATCCACACTTCGGTTTAGAATCCGACTTGCGGGTTATGGACAGCAGGACTGTGAGCACGTATATGTATGCTCTTTTGGTCAAATTACAGCCATCATTGACACATCATGGCTTCAGAACTGAAAGCGAGCGAGCCCAATGTGGCTGGTTGGAGGGAGACTGTTACGGATCTCACTGCGGGAGCGGCTGGTGGTGCCGCTCAGGTCTTGATCGGTGAGGACCATTTACAATATGAATGATAGACAGAGCTAACGGGACCTAGGCCAGCCATTTGGTATGTGACTTATAGCGTGGACATACATCTGGTTAAATGATAGTCTAATGGAGTCGATCAGATCTTGTCAAAGTCCGGCTCCAAACCCAGAACGGAGGCAATGCTTTATCGACCGCTCGCAACATCTGGGCCAAAGAAGGGCCTTTGGCATTTTACAAAGTATGGGATTTCTGTAAGCTAGTTGGAATAAGCTACTGACTTGGTAGGGCACTCTTATGCCGCTGTTAGGTGTCGGGGCTTGCGTAGGTCATCTATCCACCCAATGAACCCACTTCTAGCTAAAACTTCCCCAGGTTAGCATTCAATTCGGTGCCTTCCATGGGCTCCGACAAGTCATTGAGTCCTACAATAAAGACAGCCGCCCAGGACTTGATGCAACCCTATCCTTACCGCAATACTACCTCGCCGGTGCAGGAGCCGGAGTAGCCACCAGTATCATCTCGGGCCCAGTAGAACATATCCGTATCCGTCTGCAGACCCAACCACATGGCGCAGCAGAATATACAATGGACCGTGGGACTGCGCTCTCAAGCTCATCCGTACTGCCGGCATCCCCGGTATCTATCGCGGACAGGCGGTGACTCTCCTCAGAGAAATCCACGGCTACGGAGTGTGGTTTGCGGCGTACGAGGGCCTTGTGGGAATCGCCATGGACCGTCAACAGAAGAAACGAGAAGAACTCCCAAGCTGGCAGATTGCAGTATGTGGAGGTCTTGCGGGGGAGGCTCTCTGGCTCCTGAGTCACCCATTGGACGTAATCAAGAGCAAGATGCAAAGCGATGGATTTGGGGCTGAGAAAAAATACCGCAACATGAGATTCGCTTTTCGGCATACTTGGGTCACAGGTGGCTTGAGAGGTCTGTTTTACGGCCTCGGACCGGCTCTTCTTCGGGCCATGCCTGTGAGCGCGGGCACGTTCGCTACGTAAGTACCTTTTTTATTATTATTATTTTCCAGGGTGGATAATGCCGAAGTGCCTCCGAGAATGGGCTAACAGGGAATATGATAGGGTAGAGGTGGTGCGGAAGTTTCTGGGTTAGGTAGAAATGATAGTATCTGCAATAATATAACCGCTATAACCAGTCCACCCAGTTTCTCGTATTGGTCGGTTAAGTCTGTATATGGCTCGGTTGTTATCCCGAACTAAACTTGTATTAGCCGCGTCTCGTCGGCTGTGGGGTTTCAAGACCCTTAAAAGGCCAATACGAGAGTTCGGGTAGTTCGACATCGGCGCCATCGGCTTCGTTATACGGACGGAAAATTTATATGAAAGTCCCGCCGAGCCGGTGGGGATTTATTAAGGCGGCCGGATTGTGGAGGTGAGTGGAAATTACAACGCGCGGGACCCCCGGATAAACACAACCCCAGGGCTTAGCACTCTCTAGATCTTCTCCACGCTCAACGACTGTCTTTCGAGCGTCTATAACCTGTTCAGAATACCTCCGTTGCGATGGCCCTTGTAGAAACAATGCCTGTATACTATCGTAGTTTGGAAGAATTTTGTATCTGGTGGCTCAGTCTGCATCGTACCCTAATATCGCCAAGGACACAGGTCTAATGTACGCTGTAGTGGTACGATCTAGAGACCACAAACTCACCATGATGCAATGTTCTTTACTCCGGAGTACTCCATCCAGGAATTGCTCCTAGTGTGGGGTAAAGCGACGATGGATTTTGACCGGCTACTTGGCGTCCTCCATGCTACTATTTATTAGGGCCAGGGTCCCCGCCCACGCCATGAGATCAAGTTTCGACCACAGGGATTTGCCTGGCAGACTCACAAGATGCTCATCTCCAAGACCGTGCTCAGCGGGCTTGCCTTGGGAGCGTCCTTCGTTGGCGTTTCTGGTCAGCAGAACTCCACCCGTTGGCCGTTGCATGACAACGGTTTGACAGACCTTGTAGAATGGTGGGTTCAGTCAATTGGAGGATTCAATGCTGTTAGCTCTGACACCATGGCAATACAGGGATCACTATAGTTTTTTGATCAATGGTCAAAGGCATTTCGTTTTCTCTGGAGAAGTTTGTCTGCCCAATCCCCTATATTCTGGAGGGTTCAATGCATTAACATCGGATAGTTCCATTACTGGCGTATTCCTGTGTAAGGCAAGAGTCCCACAACGGCAGCGCTCGAGCTAATATATTACCAGGCCTGAATTATGGAGAGATCTGCTCGAGAAGATCAAGGCCGCCGGGTAGGTAGTCCCGGATTCTTGAAGCCCTTCTCGACACGCTAATGGCGAACTCCATAGTTTCACTGCCTTTTCGATCTACAATCACTGGGGATATCATAGCCCCAAGGCTGGCGTTCTCGACTTCGAGAACGGAGCTCACAACTTCACCGCGATCATGACTCTAGCCAAAGAGATAGGTCTCTACATGATCATCCGGCCGGGCCCATACGTCAATGCGGAAGCCAATGCTGGTGGTCTCCCTCTGTGGGCAACCACAGGTGCCTATGGAAAGCTCCGGGATAACGACCCTCGGTACTTGGAGGCTTTGACCCCGTACTGGGCTAACATTTCTAAAATCATTGCCCCTCATCTCATCACCAACGGCGGCAATGTCATTCTGTATCAGATCGAAAATGAGTACGCTGAGCAGTGGCTTGACGAGGAGACTCAGGAGCCCAACGTCTCTGGCCAGGAATACATGCAGTATTTGGAGGACGTTGCTCGGGAAAATGGCATCGATGCCCCTCTGATCCATAATCTTCCAAACATGGTAGGGCAATACGCTAGCTTGCTAGAGGTACAGGAACTTTGGCTGACACCTACCAGAACGGTCACTCATGGTCCAAGGACCTCTCCAACGCTACCGGGAATGTCGATGTCATTGGCGTGGATAGCTATCCCACTTGCTGGACCTGCAATGTCAGTGAGTGTGCCTCAACCAACGGAGAGTATATCCCATATGTAAGTATCACCTAACGCTCTGTCTGCCTCTGGGGAGTTGTGCTAATCTATCCCAGAAAACTTTGATCTACTACGAGTAAGTTACAATACACGAATTGTATAAGTGAACACTGACTTACCCTCAAATCAGCTACTTCAAGAAACTCTCACCGTGAGTTTGCCCTATCTAAGACTACCTGCACGCTCTAATTCCTGTCACAGCACCCAGCCAAGCTTCATGCCCGAGTTCCAAGGCGGCTCCTACAACCCATGGGGCGGACCTCAAGGAGGCTGCCCGGATGACCTTGGCCCGGATTTCGCGAACCTCTTCTACCGAAACCTGATCTATCAGAGAGTCAGTGCTATCTCACTGTACATGTTGTACGGCGGTACAAACTGGGGTTGGCACGCCTCAACCGATGTCGGTAAGTTATCCCCAAGCACAATATATGCCATCGATGCTGATGAGCGCAGCGACGAGCTACGACTACTCTTCTCCAATTTCAGAGAACCGGAAACTTATTGAGAAATACTACGAGACGAAAGTACTTACTCAATTCACGAAAAGTACGCCTCCTTTGTCCGATATGTGGAAGTTCGCCAGGCTAACCTCCGGACACAGTGGCCCAGGATCTGACTAAAGTCGATCGTCTAGGCAACGTAAGTAGAGGATAGCAAGATTGTGTACAAAGAAACGCTAACCGAGTCAATAGAGCACGAGATACTCGAGCAACCCAGCTGTTTCAGTTTCTGAGCTACGGAACCCTGACACTGGCGCGGCTTTCTACGTAACTCAGCACGAGTACACCCCATCCGGAACGGTCGAGAAGTTCACAGTCAAGGTTAACACATCTGAGGGCGCTCGTATGTTACCTCCTGCGTCTGAAATTCCTGTATCACTATGATACCCTGCTAACTACTTGGAAAGTCACTATCCCTCAATACGGCTCCCAGGTCACTCTCAACGGCCACCAATCCAAGATCCTCGTCACGGACTTCAGGTTCGGCTCGAAGACGCTCCTTTACTCCACGGCGGAAGTTCTTACCTATGCTCTCATTGACGGCAAAGAGGTGCTGGCTCTCTGGGTCCCTACTGGTGAATCGGGAGAATTCAGCGTGAAGGGAGTGAACTCGGCCAAGTTTACCGACAAGGGACGTACTGCAAACATCGAGATCCACCCTGGGGCAAACAATGTGACAGTCTCTTTCATGCAGAGAGCAGGTATGAGCGTGGTTGAGCTTGGCGATGGAACCCGCATTGTTCTTCTCGACCGGTCTGCTGCTCATGTATTCTGGTCTCCTCCGCTCAGCAATGACCCTGCCGAGGCCGGCAACAACACTGGTAAGTCCACATCGATGGCGGTATGTATACCTTGGTGGGCTCGCTGACACTCCTCAGTCCTCGTCCATGGTCCCTACTTGGTTCGCTCGGCTAGACTGGAAGGCTGTGACTTGGAGCTCACTGGAGATATCCAGAATTCCACAAAGGTCAGCATCTTTGCGCCCAAGTCAGTATGCTCCGTCAATTGGAATGGCAAGAAGACATCCGTCAAGCCAGCAAAGAGTGGTGTTATCACCACAACCTTGGGAGGCGGAGCGAAGTTCGAACTCCCCAAGATCTCCGGCTGGAAACATGCGGACAGTCTCCCTGAAATCGCCAAGGACTATTCCGCCACAAGCAAAGCGTGGGTTGGTATGTTACATCCTTCTTCTTCTTCTTCTTCTTCTTCTTCTTCTTCTTCTTCTCCTCCTCCTCAGCCAACAGTACCCGCCAGTTAACAAAAGACCAGTGCTACAAAGACGAATTCGTCCAACCCTACTCCCCCAGCACCGAACAACCCCGTCCTCTACGTGGATGAGAACGATATCCACGTCGGCAACCACATCTACCGCGCCACGTTCGCCAGCACCGACGAGCCACCAACCGACGTCTACCTGAACATCACCGGAGGCGCGCATTCGGCTACTCAGTCTGGCTGAACTCCGAATTCATCGGCTCCTGGCTCGGGGCCGCGACAGCCGAGCAGAACGACCAGACATTCTCGTTCTCCAACGCAACCCTCAGCACCACCGACGGGGAAGACAACACGCTAGTGGTCGTGATGGACAACTCCGCCCACGACCTGCGCGAAGGAGCCATCAACCCACGGGGTATCACAAACGCCACGCTGGTCGGACCCGGAAGCTACACCTTCAGCGAATGGAAACTGGCCGGCAACGCAGGCTTCGAAGACCACCTGGATCCGGTGCGCGCGCCGCTCAACGAGGGCAGTCTGTACGCCGAGCGGGTCGGCATCCATCTCCCGGGCTATGAGTTCGACGAGGCCGAAGAGCTGCCTTCTGACAGCACCAGCCTCACCGTCCCGGGCGCTGGTATTCGCGTCTTCCGCACCGTTGTTCCCCTCTCCGTGCCCTCGGGTCTGGACGTCTCGATCTCGTTCCGTCTGACGGCGCCCTCGAATGTGACCTTCACCTCTGCGGAGGGATATACCAACCAGCTGCGCGCGCTGCTCTTCGTCAACGGATACCAGTATGGTCGTTTCAACCCGTATATCGGTCATCAGATCGACTTCCCTGTTCCTCCCGGTGTCCTGGATTACACCGGGGATAACACGATTGCGGTGACGGTGTGGAGTCAGAGTGCGGATGGTGCCGAGATGAAGATCGATTGGAATGTGGACTATGTCCATGAGACTAGCTTCGATATGAACTTTGACGGAGCGTACCTGAGACCCGGATGGATCGAGGAGAGACGCGAATATGCTTGAGAAGGCGAAATATAACAGAAACTAATCTCTGCTTTCCTCATCCGCTTATCACAAATGATATCTTGGGACTTTGAGGTCGGGCAGGCATCACCTTTCAAATTAAACAGATTTATGAGATAAAATGCTAGTATGAGAAAACAGTTAGGGATGAATATGTACGATTTTACAGATAAAGCGACGAGTAAACAGCACATTAAATAATACCCAAATCAAGGCAAACAAAGCATATTAGTGCATATCACAGTAACCTCCAAAATGTATCCATTCGCAGCAGCTCAACAAGTTAGGGCAAAGACCCGCGTCCCAAAAAGGAAAGCCAAAAAAGGACGGTAAACTGCCACCGGCGACCGCCTAACGGAACCATGGTTAGATTGATAGATGAGCGGCGCGCGTCGCGTCCGGGTTGATCATCGCATTTCGGCCCAAAACTACAATATTCTGGTACCAAATGCGCCGGGGATAACGTGAAGCCGGGTGTGGCATTCAAGGATGCCTTCATTAGCGACGGTGCCTCGCCGTCGACAGCGGAGCGAAGAAGAGGAGAGCGACGACTCGACAAGCTCAGCAGGCAACCCCACGCCCGCGTCGAACAGCAGCAAACGGATGCGTCTGGAAGCCAACCTGAGCGACGACGACGACGACGAGGACGAGCTAGACACAGAAGATACTGGTAGTGGGACAAGCGATGAGGATGGCGACAATGTCAACGGCGCTGCGAAGCAATCCAAGATCGCGAAAACCCGCAGCCTGCAACTGACACAAAACGGAGACCACAATGGAGCCGTGCAGGATGGATATAAGCCCGGCGCTATTGTACGCATCAAGGTCACTGATTTTGTGACATATACGTCTGCGGAGTTCTTTCCCGGCCCGAAACTGAATATGGTGATTGGGCCGAACGGAACGGGGAAGAGTACGCTTGTTTGTGCGATATGTCTGGGTCTGGGATGGGGGCCTGCGGTATGATAGAATATTTTCTCTTGATCCAGGGGATTGTTGATGTCTGGTAATGTGGCAAGAGCTGTGCTAATATAAGGTCTTGTGTTTTAGCACTTAGGACGTGCCAAGGAGCCCGGCGAATTCGTGAAGCATGGTTGCAGAGAGGCTACCATCGAGATTGAGCTCGCAGGAGGACCCCGTTTTCGTCGAAACCCGGTCGTGACTCGGACGATCAAACGCGATGGCAACAAAAGCTCGTTTACTATCAATGGGAAGGCCGCATCGCGCACCCAGGTGCTGAAGCTTGCGCAGTCGTTCGCCATTCAAATCGACAATCTATGTCAGTTTCTACCGCAAGATAAAGTCAGCGAGTTCGCTGCTCTTACGCCCATAGAACTCCTCAACTCCACGCAGAGGGCTGCGGCCGGTGCGGAAATGATTGAATGGCACGATAACCTGAAGGAGCTGAGGGCCCAACAAAAGAAACTACAGGCGGGTAATAAAGGCGACAGGGATCTATTGGCTAATCTCGAAGAGCGACAAGAAATGCAAAGGGCCGACGTTGAAAGAATGCGACAAAGAACGGAGATCAAAAGGAAGATCGAGATGTTGGAGCTGGCCCGGCCAATGGCGAAGTACAAGGAAATGCACCTCGAGTTTAAGGAGTTGAAACGGCGGAAAGAGGACCTTGCCCTTGAGCTCGAAAACCTCAAGGCTGAGCTGGAACCTGCGTTGAGAGCAGTCAATGCGAAACAACGGTATTATCTGCAAATCGACGAAGTTGTCAGTTACAAAAAGGCGCGTGTTGAGGAAGCAGAGCGTACGGCTTCAGAATTAGGGAAGAAAATCGAGCAATATGAAGAGAGAATGAAAGATCTAGATCGCGAAATAGAGTCGGAAAAAAGGAGCAATACCCATTCGAAACAGGAAGGGACGAAAATTCAGCAGACCATTAACAAACTCAATCGCCAACTGGCTGAAGAGGCCATTGAGTTCGATGCGGATTGGTATAATGAAAAAATTGTAAGTAGCTTGGAGACCGTTGCAGACGTCCATGCTCATCTATACAACAGAGAGAGAAGCGGCGACAGATGCGGGAAATGGAGGATAAAGCAAACGAAATCAAAGATAGACGAAGGCCACTTTTCGAAGCCCAAAAGGAGAAAACCGACAAGGTCAAGGAGTCGGAACAACATCTGCAGAGACTGGACTCTCAGTCGGGACAACAAGAAGAAAAGCTGAAACAGATATCATACGAATCCTACAAGGCTTATCAGTGGATCCAGCAGAATCAAGACAAATTCGAAAAGGAAGTGTTTGGCCCTCCAGTTGTCACCTGCTCTGTGAAGGACCCTAAATACGCTGATGCTCTCGAATCGCTATTGCAAAAGACTGATCTCATGGCATTCACTGTCCAGTGTCGCAACGATTTCAGGACGCTTCAAAGGGAACTGAATATCGGGCAAAAGCTGCACGACATCAGTATCAGGACCAGTTCTGTTCCCTTGGAGAGATTCCGTCCTCCCATGTCTGAGGACGAGGTTCGGAATCTTGGGTTCGATGGTTGGGCGAAAGATTTCCTCAATGGACCAGACCCGGTTATCGCCACACTATGTAGCGAGAATCGACTGAACCAAACACCTATCGGTCATCGAGATATCACGGACGAAAAGTTTCGCAGAATGGAACAGGGATTGATATCCTCCTGGGTTTCTGGGAAGAAAAGCTACACCGTCTCGCGACGAAAAGAATATGGTCCCAGTGCGACTTCCACCCGTGTGAGACAAGTGAGGCCAGCAAAGGTGTGGACATCCCAACCCATGGATGCATCAGCGAAACAGGATCTGGTTCAAAATGTTCAAGCTCTCAAGGAGGAAGTGCGCGAGTTACAAGAAAAGATAGACATTGAGAGGGCCAATCTAGTCCAACTCGGCCATGATCATGATGAATGTGAACAGGAACGGGTATGATCTGCATTTGTTTGCGATTTGATGATAGATATGCTGACTTTACTATCCAGCTTGACCTTGAAAGGGAGAAGTCCGAAAAACAGACGGCTCTTACAAACTACCGAGCTATCCCCGAAAGAATCCGTACGTTTCATCGTCCCTCTACTTGTTTAGCGATTCTGACATTTCATATTAGGCCAGCAGGAACTCCGAATGAGGGACATCCAGAAGATTTTCCAAGAAGTAAAAGCCAGGGTTCTTGATATTCGCAGTCAACAGGACCAGCTATCCATTGAGAAAGCCGAAGCGACACTTGAGTACGCTGTATGTATTATCTTATTCATTACTGTTATGCCTCGGTGCTAACCCTAGACAGAACGCGGTTGAACATCTTCGAGTCCTGCACGAGGACCTCATCAAGTTAAAGATCTGGCATATTGAGGCCTTCTCCGACGTAGAGATATTGAAGGATCGCAATACAGAACACAGAGACAGATTGGAAGCTAAAAATAACGAGCTGAAAGAGGCAGTGCAGGAAGTGAAGACCATGTCGGCAGCCGTCAAAGACATGATGAAGCAGGCAAACAAGGTTGTAGCGCTGTCGGCGCGTCAGCCCGACTTGGCTGCGCTGCTCGCCACATTGGTCGATCATACTGTTGACCAACTTGAAGCAGACATTGATTCGGAGAAGGCTCGCCTGGAGCTCACGCATGGAGGGAGCAGCAACATTATTAAAGAATTCGAAGAACGTGAGAAACAGATACAAAAGCTGCGCGGCAAGCTCTCCGAATTTGAGACTCAACTCGCGGAGTTTGACCACGCCATCAACGAAATCCGCGGGAAGTGGGAACCCAAGCTCGATCAGATAATAAAGAGCATAAGTGACGCTTTCTCCGATTCATTTGCCCGCATTGGCTGTGCCGGCCAGGTCACATTAGACAAAGCCGAGGATGAAGCAGGCGCCGACGGCGAGCCTGGAGGCAGCGACTTTGATCAGTGGTCCATCCAAATCCACGTCAAATTCAGAGAACACGAGAATCTCTCCCTCCTCGACTCTCACCGCCAATCAGGCGGAGAAAGAGCCGTGAGTACGATCTTCTACCTAATGGCTCTGCAGTCGCTCTCCGCATCTCCGTTCCGCGTCGTCGACGAGATCAACCAGGGCATGGACCCGCGCAATGAACGAATGGTACACGGACGCCTGGTGGATATCGCCTGTGCCCCCTCCGAAAGCGGAGGTGGCGGCCAGTACTTCCTCATCACGCCCAAGCTGCTCAGCGGGCTAGTCTATAAGCCAGGCATGAGGGTCCTCTGTATTTATAGCGGCGAGCATATGCCGAAAGACTACGAGCAGCTTGATTTCGGGCAAGCCATTCAAAGAATGAGGGCTATCCGGGACCGAAGGGCCGTCGAGGATACTACTCAGAGAAATAACGGCCATGTTGACGTCTTCGCTTGATTTACCTTTTCGGCTTGGAGTAACGGTGTTTTGTGATACCTCTTTTCGTTTATGATTCCGAACGCGATACTACATTTGTCATGTGTGCGTACTTGGTTGAAGCTTATACCAATGCCTGATACTATTTGTCTTAACTTCACATCCTGTACATATTGAGTTATACTCAAACCAAACATCAGCCACCATGATCTACAGATATAAATACCCAGGACATTCCGATCAGCGTTCTAAAAGCCCACCCGCCCCACGCACAAGACCGTATATATCGCACTTTAACCTCTTCAACGCAAAACCTTAACCATCCCAAACCAATCATCCACTTCTCCGCTGCCCCGTCGAGTTGTCACATCGCCTGCTAAGTAAAAGAGGGTAGTCTTAGGCGAAAATCGGGGCCCGAGAGCCTGGTAGCGCATCATTGCTGTTCTGGGCCCGGTGAGAACTATAACTTTGTCCTCGGTGGGTTTCCCTGGTACAAGTGCGTTGTTTGGGCTAAGGTTAATGGTTTCCATGGTAGGGGTTAGACTTAAGCCTCCTCTGACTCGAACATTTTTCTGAAGGGTTCAGTGGGTATGTACATGATTAATCGAAACGGCCGCAATGCCGTTAACTATTCAGTTTGTGTCTCGGCCGCAAAGGGTCCAGAACGAAGTTAGATTGATTGGTTTATGTATGTAAATGTATTTCAAGATTCACGATCCGTTTCGGCTGAGGATATACAGTACATAACGGCCATCAATCAAACATCACATACAACCTCGGGATGGTATCGGCAATACATGTAGAGAAGTTTATCATACGGCTGATATTCCCCCCAGTAACGAAGTCTCTTATGATTATCGACGATATTCAGCACTGTGCGAAGGGAATACTCCATGCTTGGTGGCCACCTTACCTTGTCTTGCGTACATTTGATATTGTCGGGGTACTATAGACTGGCGAGGAAAATGGACACTTACAATCTGGCGGCTGTCGGTGAGTAAAGAATGCCTTCAGTTCCACGGCTATCATGCTCGTAGTTACACTATTGTATGAGCCAGTTTCGTGTGATGGGGAGTTGCACTCTAACTGAGGACATACGTAGGTGGTAGTTGATAGTAGGTAGTTGTGTAAATGAACTTGTGTTGTGATGGATGGGATCTAATCTCTACTCTACCCATGATTCTCTCTCCAGCCGACATCTCAGCTGAACATTGTGTAGAATCTTACAGCCACATAAGCAGGATAGTTATGTCTCTGACTGAAAACGATGACAACCCCCCTGGGCACACAGCGTCTGACATATCCACATTCCCTACTCGTACAATTGTCAAACTGGTACATCAAGTGCATAACCTCCTACCTAATATCCTCGTATACGTTGTGACCAGTAGACGAGATTCTCGAAACAACGCACATAACCATATTCGCCGGACCCCATCAGTATAAACCTGTAATAGACAGCACAGCTACCGATAACAGACATCCTGTTGCGAAGCCATATCGATCGATAGACAGCGCCAGACAACCTAACCTTGTTGAGCGCAGGGCTAGCCGTTGGTAACCTGTGTATATTACTAGTAGCCAAGAGAGCTGCTGATTATGCTTTTCTGGCAGATCCTGGCAAGCCTGAGTGCCGATGAAATCCATGTCCAAGATCCACTGCACGTGTCCCTCCCTCTATACCAAAGCGCACAAGCGCTGTCTGAACGAGGACGACGGACTCACCCTGCAAGAGGTTTCATGCATATTATGAAAGAAAAAAAGAAAAGAAAAGAAAAGAAAAGAAGAGAAGAACCCAGACACACAGTCCAGACCCTCCCTCGCCCCGATACCAACGAGAGAGTGTGGATAACCGGGCTTAGCCTAGGTCACCGTGTTGTCCCCGTATGCCACTTAAATTAGCACCGGCTGGTCTGGGCGTGAAGATCGTCGGCAAGACTTGTGTTGGAGCGTTAGCCTTTTATCTTTTCTTTATTCTTTGAGTGGTGCGTTGAGGGCCTGGAGCTGGCTCTCTGTCGTGTTGCGCGCAGCATGACCCGAACCGTGGCTCCTGGCGGTTGGACTCGTATGGACCTTGGTAGTGGGAAACTCAACTCTGTGGGTATGGTTTGATTTTCGTCGGTGGAGTTCTGGGGGATTTTCATGAGTGGGAGGGTTTGGTTGGCTTTTGGCTTTGGAATAGGTTGGTGTTGTGGCTGTCGGTTGTCTCTAGATGGTTGGGATGGAGGAGGTTAAGCTGGGGAGGGCTTTGGGTCTGGATCTGTGATAGGTGGCAAGGATCTTTTTCTTGGGAGATATGTTGGTCAATTCGGTAATATGGAAGTAAAGGCAGCATCGGAGGGATGGGGATGTGCGTTTAGTACTGCTGTTGGACGGTGCACGAATTGGTTGACCAGTGGGTAGTTCAGCAGATATCACCAACCACTGGGTATGCACTCAGTGCACAATACTAGCAAACCCTATCCTCTATAATCTTAAGTACCAGGTCTTACTCTGTAGGCGCATCTAGAAAGAAAGGGCAGGTTCAAGATATCAAGATCGTAGAGGCATATGTATAGATAGATTTATCTACATACAAGACGGTTTGAGAAGGACTCAAAAAATATACCATTCTTTCTCGAGGTCATGTCACATCACTATAACAAAGGAAAATGACACAAATGAAACACGTAACAACAATAAGGGAAGCCCAAGACTCCGACAAATGCCCGAGACCCTGACCTGTCGCTTCCCAGCCCGGAGAAACCCCCGGGTTTCCGTCGACGCCTGGTGAATTCCGATCCTTTCAATAAAACCCGTCCATATAATATATACATGAGGTGAGAAGAGAAGAAAACAAAAAAATTGTATGTATATGAGTTCCTGTCCCAGACACCTGTTCCTGAACCCTAAGCCCGGGTAGAAAGTAATAAAATCACACGCGTAAAAGGGTATCATCAAAGAATCAGAAGGTGCTGCAGGGGAGATGTATAGGCCTGCAGTGTAGCTCTTGGTTGTTGTCTTTTTATTTTTCTTTTCTTTTTTTCTTTTTTCTTGTCTTTGTGCTGTGGTGTTTATACCATGGCGGTGGCGACGGAGCGTCCAGTGTGGCAGCCACGCTCGTGGCGCTTCATGTTGCTTCGTACGCTGAAGGCCTTGCCGCAGCCGGCGTGAGTGCAGCGGAATGGCTTCTCGCCGGTGTGGCTGTGGGAGTGGATGCGCAGGCTGGATGGTCTGGAGAAGGCCTTGTGGCAAGTGCGGCAGATGTACCGATCGTGGTTCTGTTGGTAGGGTGCCGAGCTGGACGGCGGGAAGTAGTGGTGGTGCTGCCAGGCCGGAGTGACGGGAGTGATCATCTGCTGGTGTGCGGCCGATGCAGGCAGAGGAGCAGCGGATGGAGCAGGAATAGCGGCGGCGCTCTGGTAGGAGACGGAAGGTCTCTGGTAGTACATGGTGGACGGAGCGGAGGATTCAACCGGTGAAGAGTAAGAGGCCACACTGGGGGCAGGAGAAGCGTAAGGCGCAGCGGAAACGTGGTGAACAGAGCCCTGGCTGGAGATCGAGGATCGATCGGACGGGCTGGGCAGTGTCATGGGGGTTTGCGAGTATGACTCGAGCTTGATGGCCTTGCCACTGGTCACGGACGAAGCAGAGGGGGAGTGGCTGCTGCTGTGGAAGCCCGAGTCCGGGCGCAAAGGAGGCGTCGGAGGGCCATTTGGTGTCGAAACTGAGTCATAAGCCGAACGGAACTCAGACTCCCTGCGCGGGGGTGGGCTTGTTCGTTGACGCTCTGCGCCGGTACAAGTCAGTCATCAATGCTTCCACAGGTCCTGCGCATTGTGCACGATGGGGTCTTGGGGAGACATACTTGCAGCACATGTCGATGCGCTGTCTGCGCTTTCCAGGAGGGCCGAGATAGAAGGAAGAGAGCACTTGGGCTGGTCCTCAACCGGCGGGGAAAGAGGGGGCTGCGGGGCGCGCGAGTAAGAGAAGTAAGAGTCGTGTTCCGCCGAGCGCTTGTATGAACCCGCAGAGCTGGGAGGAGGGCTGTAAGAAGCCCGAGACTTGTAGATGGGTTCAGGACCCGGAGTGATAAGGCTGGCAAGATCCATGACGGGATAGGGTGGAGGAGGACTGGAGTAGAGAGTCGGGGAGAGCTTAGAGCTATGGAAGGTGAAGGATGGAAGAGAAGTTGAAGGTAGCAAAAACGTGGCTACAGCCGAACCATATATGATGGAGCCAGAGAGGAAGAGGGTACGTAGGAAGACCGGTGGACTGGATCGTGTTCCAGGTACGAGTGGGGATGCAATTGGATTTCTTGGGAACCAGGGGAGGAGGGGGTGGAGGAAAGTGTTTATAGATGGAGATGGAGATGTGCTGGTTCGGGTGGGGAATGATGAAGCCTTGATAATATGAGCAGGAGAAGAAGATCAACCGAAATGTTTAATTATAGGTGACGGACGTCCTCCGTTTTGATAGTTTAAAACATTCATGAAAGTAAGAAAAAAAAAAAAAAAAAAAACAGCGGGAGATGCCGATGCGAACCACTCCTGCGAAGAAAATAAAAATAAATTCGTTTTTGTATGATAAACTGACGCTGATGAGGATTAACCTAAACGATTTCCCTGTCGAGCGTAGTATATTATAGGAGGGAAAAAAAATATTATTATCATTTTTATTTTTATTTTATTTTTTAAGAAAAAAAAGAAAGAAAGAAAGAAAAAAGAAAAAAGAATTATTCATTTTCATTTATTTATTTCCGTAGGGTCATGATTACCATACGCGTTACGCCGTAAGGGAATTTCCCCGAAGGGAGTCCGCAGTGGCCACCTTTCGAATTTCGTTGATTCGTTTTGCTCGATTCGCTTCGACAAGGGTTGATACCTCCGTCCCAAAGCTTAATTAATGGCCAGTGGCCCGGTACCCTTTTTTTTTAATTATTTTATTTTGTGTATGGTATTGTAACCCTTCCCATCCGGGCCTAGAAATGATTTACCATTAGCATAGATCGTTTTGGGTAGATTCGACGAGAGTCTAAAAAAACGTGCGCATCTCCGCTGTCCGCCCCAGAAAAGGACCACTGGAATGTGGGTAACGTTATTACGACCAGTGCCACAACTTTTGACGGGTTCGATAGACGACGTTCTTTAGAATACGCAGTAGCATTTTCCTTTTTTATGCTTGATTATAGAGATATCAAGATATAACTATATCAGAATTTCGCCAGACTTTCATCCCGAATATGCAATCGTTCGTTCCTCGAGCATGTTCCCGAGGGAATGGTACGCTATTTCAAATTGCCAGGTGATACAAAGACCTTTCCCCAATGCCACACGAAGTCACATTGCTAGAAAAAGAAAAAGAAAAAGAAACCGAAAAGCGCCTCCTGAATCCGAATCCCACGCGAGGTGTCGTACGTAACCGCGTATCCAGTGTACACAGATCAACGGTACTTACTTTCGGGGGGCTCGGCTACAGTAAGTCTGGCGCTAGTGCAGATCCACGGACACCTTTCCATCTCCATTATGCCCAGAAATCCATCAATCATTAATCATGGGGGATGACATTGCTCGTTGGAAATCTCACCCACCCTTTTTTTTTCTTCTTTCCCTTCCTTCCTTCCATTTCCATTCCTCGGATCCCCTCGCTACCAAATAGTGGCTTCTTAACTAGGCAACATATTAATATAGAATATATTACCAGCACGATCCTCATTTATAGTTATTAAGATAGATAAAAAAAAATAAAAAAGAGATTGTCTGATCGGTTACAATTTTATTCTATTTTCTTTTTTTCTTTTTTTCTTTTTCCTTCCCCAGCCGATCGTTCGGGTGGATCAGGCCCGAGGCTGGTTTCTGGACTTTGCTCAGTGGTTTTACCTGTCACAACGATCCCATGCCCCATAAACGGCTGATCGGTGCCGCACGACATTGATTTGTCGAGGCGGACGAGAACCTGTTCTCATCTTCCAACAATAATTGACATGCCTGTAGATCGTCCGTTCCTCTCTCGGGCCTCATCGGTCGGTAAGGTAGGGTAGTACTGAACTGGTCATACGGTAGTATCATACATACATCCTGTAGGCGGTGGCTTCAGGAGAAACACACACCCACACACACCTAGTTCATACCTGTAGCATGTATGTCATATCTTTTTTTTCCTGTACGAAGGGACCGAATCCAAACCACCACTTAAGCATCACATTTCATATTGCAACTGATTTATTTATCGTAGGTGATGCCCGCACGCCTGCCTCGCGATGCAAGATGCAGTTCGATTCTCAATCCCTCACCCCCCCCTCCCTCCCTCCAGCCAGCCCGTATACTCAGTATCCTCTCTCTATTGACATACCATCGTTTCAATAAATCATCCTAAAAAGGTCGTTACTACCGAAGTTCTTCCAGGTTTTGGTCAAACACTCTCCGCCCTCCTTTTTCATCCCCTTGCTCCATGTGCAAAAGCCGAGCATCAAGAAAATGTTCCGATTGCTAGGATGGGTAATGAGTCCGTTAACCAAGCCCTTGGTGCCGGATGACGGGTATGGAGGGGGGGCGAGAGACATGGCAGCTAAGTTAGCTTCCTCCAAGCCCAATGCAGGCTAGGCTCCGACACCGACAGACGATTCCTCTTGCGATCCTTCGCTTGGGGGCCAAGGGATTTTAGCGGCATGGAGAACCCGGAGATTATCGTGGCGTTGACAGCCAACGAGAAATGAACATTCATCAATCTATGGGAAAGTTTAAAAAAATAGACAGAAAAAACAAAAAGGGAAAATCCATAGTCCATCGACAGATCGTAGAGCAAGTCAAGTTCATAGGAAAAAGAAAAGAAAAGAAAAAAAGGTAACAATTAAACCCTAAATTGTCCTACTATACGCACTACGTACGATCGAGCAAGTGATTGATTGTCAGATGGAAAAGCAAAAGCTACTATTCTCTCCAAGGACATATGTCCGTGGTGTCGATTAAGATCCCCGTCATATTTTTGCATGACTACTCCGGTCACTGGTCTCTGATTGGGTGGATCGTATGTATGATTCTCTTGGTTGCAGGAGGCAGTATCGAGCCGGCCAACAAGAATGCACAAAACATGATAGAAGGATGCGTTCTCCGTGCATATCGTAACTGCATGCATAAGTATGTATTACCATGTACTCATCAGATGAGATGAAGAAAAAATTCTCCCGCATGAGTGATCGGTCCCGGCTGCAGGCTGGAATGCGCCTTTGACTCGGAGCCGATTTGACTGGTCATGAAGTATGACATCAATCACCGGCGAGGTGAATCTTGAAACATGACGGGCTATGTGGACAAGACCAGACAAGAATGGGCATGCCAGCACCATCGAAGTGCTTCCTCGCAGCCTCAGGCTGGATTTCACATTTCCTTGCCCTCATTCCAAGGATGAGACCGAAACTATGCACAGGTCTCAGACCATCGGATCCCCACGTAAGTAAGTCAAGAAAAAGGCAAAAAATAAAATAAAATCCATTTCCTACTCGTTTACCATGAATTACCCATCCCAATTTCCTTTCCATTGGGATCGACTGTCAGATCACGGGTCCGAGACAGCTGATGCGACAAAGCTTCCATGGAGAGATAACTGTCTGGACTCAGTCCAACCGTGGTTCCATCCGGGCTTGGCTCTCTACCGGTTCCTGTGTGCACGAGATGCCTCGGTCAGATTCCGCCTAGACGTCCCGAAAAGGGTTATGGAGACGAGATGGGGCTAAAGGATGATCATCAGTGCATCAGTAAGTAATCTTGGGACTAAAACTTCTGGAAGCGAGATCGTAATTTATCCCCTTTCCGGATTATTCATTCTCGACTGTGTATAGTCATAATTCATAACTTCTATTTTCGGTTTGCCTTTCTCTTTGTTCATGTAAATCCCTGTCACTAGCTCCCTCCGGGTACTACCTGAAAGCTCTTGATAGATTCTTCTGGATCTCATTTTTAGGGGGGAGCGGCCATGATCAATTTTTTTTTTATGCTATTGTATTTTTTCTTAGTATTTTAATCCTCTCGGATGATCATCAGATACTAGTGGGCGGATCCTCCCGCCAAGCTACTTGCCAATTTCGGGAAATATGGACGAGACGCTGCACACTGGCAAATGAGGTAGTGCTCCCGTTGCAGCGCATGGGCAAGACAGCCAGGTTTAGTACTACATCATTCCTTTCTTTGTGCTTTGTTTTCTTCCTCCCCGGGTACCTCGAGAAGAACAGACAAATCAATCGTCAAGCCAGAATCACTAGCCTCGATCTCTGTCCTACCACACAAAGTATGACAAATTTCCAGCAAAAGCAAACATCGAATCGAAAAACAAAGAACAGGAACCGTAACACAAACCCAGACGATCTCCCAGAGCCACAGAAACACACCCATGGGCCACGCGCTATCCCCAAACAGGAAAAAGAAACAACGACCGTGTGCGCTGACTAAGAGATTACTAGTATGAATGCGAGCGAATATGCAAGCGGATTGGATCAGAGACCCATGTCCATGTGTTTTTTGCCCCAGTGCGACCAAACTTTAATAAACGAAGTCCGGGTAAAATGTCTCGTGGGACTCGAACTCGACTGACGAGTTATTCTGGCCGGAGCGAATCATTGCGATGCTTCGATGGGGCTGACTACGCTCAGGGTAGGAAAGAAGCTCCATCTGTCAGCACCGTCGTCCCCTCTGGACTTGGTCTAGTGCAGTGGTACCTTACGACGCGCGCGCGCTTCTCTTATATTAAGTCGTTAATTTATGTACGGCTTAGTGAATCTTCCAGGCAACTGGATTTTCAAGCCGCCCCATTGCGATCCCACGTTGGACCCGGCTGTTTATCCAGGATAGGCTTGGTGATGGACCTTAAACGCTTTGATAGTGGATTATTAAATTGCATTCCCGGACTCGTGGGATGGAAGCTACGGAATGCTGTTGCAAGGATGATGGCATGTGTCTTGTTTTACCTTTACATTCCTCGGTACGGAGATCGAACCCGTAGAATTGAGACAACAACCACAACAACAACAACATTCTCAGCTGTACGGAGTAGAAACCGTCGAATTCCATTCTCTACAGGAGCATCTCCCCTCGAGCGAATCACCCAATGAACATGCACG